AACCACAGTGCTTCCTTAAGGTTCCCATTTGTTTTATTTATTTTCAGACTATTAGTAGCTCTCTATGACACAGTTTGCTACTGAGTTTATTGACAGCATTAGAGATAATATTTGGTTTTTGAACACAGGACAAAATAAGAAAGCTGCTCAGAAGGTCAACAACTAGGAAGTCAACACACTGCCTTATAGAAAGAAAATAAACTCTAGAAGTTTTAAATGGAAGAGTTGTGGGGCCAGCAGATGGCATAATGGTTACGTCTCTGGGCTCCCATGTAATCGACCGTGGTTTGAGTTCCAGATCTGGCGGCTTAAAACTCATACAGGGCCCATGCATGCATACCCAAAATCCTGAGAGGAGAATGGAGGAGAAAGGATTGCAATGTAGCCATACCCCCTGGGTGGGGGTTATTTCTCACTTTCTGTCTCTCTGTCTCTCCTGTGAGCATATGTGTTCTATAGCAAAAATCTCTTTTAAATAAATAAATGAATGAATAAATAAATAGAAGAGTTGTCAAACAACACCAGTCTCTCAGGATGACTGCAAATGTTGTGGTTGTAACTAAATGCTGAAGATTTTTAAGCAAAGTAAAATAGCAGAACTTTATGTAAAAAATGCATTTATCGAGACTGCAGGTGGCATGGTGGTTAAAGGCACTGGACTCCCACATGACTGCCCACAGTTCAAATCCCGGACCTGGCAGCTTGCTTTCTCACTTTCCCTCTCTCTCTCTCTTGCTCTGTCCCTCTTTGGTCAAATTAAAAATAAATAAATAAATAAATAAATAAATAAAGTTGACTAAATATAATTCTTAAAAATAAATAAATAAATAAGTAGGAAAAATGCATTTATCTTGGGTCTCACCATTTCACTAAGTTTTCTTGATAACTAAAGAATTAAATAAGAGAAGAAGGGCTATACTAAAGCACAAGGGATTAATGTAAAATGTATAGAAGGACTTTTTTTTCCTTTTTTTTAATTCCAGGACAGAGATGGGGTGGGGAGAGAAAGCATTCTCCATGGGGGATGCACTTGCCAGACAGAGAAAGAGAGGGAAAACAAGAAAGCACTCCCCACAGGGGATGGCCATGCTGCAATTCCTTCTTCAGCTTCCCCTTCAGGATTTTTGGAGACACACACCCAGTGTGTGTTTTTTTAAGCTTCTGGGTCTGAGACTTGAACTGAAAGGTGAGACATGTGGGACACAGCAGCCTTACCCACCACATCACTGGCTGGCCCACAAGGACATTTTCACCGAGTCAATGACATCTGTCACATAAGATCAGTTCACAAAGAGATGCATGTGGAATTAAGGCAAACAATAGGCATTCAGTAAATATTTGCTGGATGAAGAAGCTGAGATATAGTAATAGTATAGACGTGGTTCAAAACGAACACAGAGTTTGAGGTCTCAGAGAACCACAAGCCATTGTGAATGGAAACTAGTAAGTGGAGTTAAGGAAGGGAAAATGGGTCTTCTCTAGATCCTGGTTCTCCTGACTGCGAAGGACCATTAACCTGTTACTATAATTTCTACTTTTGTCCTCTGAGAATAGCTGGCTTGTCTGCCTTTTTCTTTCGAATCTTATTTTAAAAAGAAAAAAAAAAAAGAACAAAAACAAAATCAGGAAAAGGTACTGTGCTGCTGGTTCACCTCACTTTTCCTTGGCTAGGTCACCATCGCGTGTTAATCTCCCCTCCCCCTTTATGCTCCTTTACAGAGTCTAAGACATAGAAGCTGTCACTGCCAAGTCAGTCCTTGGGTTGGGCAGAATGTGCACTGCTTATCCCATGGTATCCCAAAGAAGACGTTCCACCATGACACGACGTTAATCCAGGGGCTGGGGTTTGATGGCACTTACAAGACAGCCAGCCTGAATGGGTGGCAGGTGCCAGCACGCAGGACTGCAGGGTGGGAACATGCCTTTAAGAGGATGTTGCAAAATGTGGTGTTTCACCCTGATGACAAGGTCGTATGCAGAAAGGATGACACTGGGAAGCACACGTGTGGAAGTAAGACTAGCAATTCTGTAAATATTATGTGGTTTTCTGATGACAAGGTCGTATGCAGAAAGGATGACATTGGGAAGTACACGTGTGGAAGTAAGACTAGTAATTCTGTAAATATTATGTGGTTTTGAGGAAAGGATTATTTTGGTTACGTTATATAATTGATGGTTTTGTGAGTTCCTAGATGTTAGATATATAAACAACACAGTGATCTTTTGGGGTGTATTCTAGTCTTAAAGATTTCTGATATCATTCCATATTAAAAGAATTAGCCACAAAGAAACTGTCTTAGAAATAACAGAAATGAGGTTTCATGTTATCTACCTATGACTCTCACCAGATCCTCACCAGTAAAATAAGGAAGAAACTTAAATCATTTTCCTCATTGAATTTAAGGAAATAAAGGCGTCTTACACTCAATTATCAACTGGACGTTTCTTTTGATCTCAATATTATGCTTCGTTTCTATCCTATTTAGTGTGTAGAAATTAGGCATAACTACAAAGACAAATCCCACCTCAATTAGTAAAATCCCAGAACCAAGGTAAAACATGGATTTTATTGCTGTAATCTGAAGAGGAAAACTGTTTTCTAAGAACTGATGATATAATTTCAGTCCACCAAAATTCTTTTTTTTTTTTTTTTTTTTTACAAATTATAAGGTAACATTGCAAAGGACTCTTTATATTTTGACCCCCAAAATTTTTTTTTTTTTTTTTTTTTTTTTTTTTTTACAAATTATAAGGTAACATTGCAAAGGACTCTTTATATTTTGATATTTACATAGATTAATAGCAATGCTTTTGAACCAATTCGTAGTATAATAAAGTCAAATTCAGGTGAGAAGGATCATTTACTAAAAAACTCCATTTGTGATAGCCAAGAAAAAAACAAGGTCCTTGGTGGATAAATTGCATATAGTGAGATGCTAGTTTTTGCTTCCTTCTATTTAGTTAAAGATTTAGTCTCTCCAATAATGTACAGCTTTTCTGGTTCCTGCTTGATCAAAGAATGAAAAAGCTCATATAAAATATTATGTTTAGCTGCAAGAGTTCATGAATCCAAAGTACTTATAAAGATGATGTTTTCCATTGACTCATTGGTAAAGCTAAGTGGCACATCTGTTTATTTAGCTAAAAAGAATAAAAAAATCTTTTTATCTAACATGACTGGCATCAGTGATTCATAAAATTACTTCAGTTCAAATTTTAGCTCAAGGGCAAGAGTGTGATGAATAGACTTTCTAAATAAAATCATCAACGCAGCTTTCCACCTTTCCACTGTAAAAAATAATGACTGACTACCTCTAGCAGAGTCAGGTCGGTGCCCCAGTAATATAAATAGACAACACACTCTAACAGCATCAGCTGTTCTATTCAACCCCAAAGGAAACAGGCAGTAGAGGTGACTGGAAACTTGTGATCTGCAGCCATTTTTATTTGCTAAACTGTCCCTACGTCTCCGTGACCTGAGAATTCCCAGGCACTTTATCCGACAACATGCACACACCCTCTGAAGACTATACCCAACTAATGCCACCTACAGAATTAACGTTCACAGTGATACCATTAGTTAGGAAAAACCAGTCTTTCCAGATAAGGTTTAATTGATATTTCTCCCAACAGATTTTATATTTTTCTTTAGCACCTCGGTTTTAAATATCCTACTTGTTACCATTCTTTTGCAGAATATTTCTTAGAGAAGTGGCCTGTAGAAATTACATTATGTACATGAATTACAAAAATGAAAATACAAAACTGTAAAAGCAAATGAAGCAAAATGAACACTTCTGAAACAGAGTCGTGGCCAAAAGGAAGCAAGATTACTGCACATGTGTGCTTAGTATGTGTGTGCAGAGGTACCTGGGTGGCCGCAGAAAGCTACCAATGACTCATCTGTGTATCTAAAAGAACTCTGGAAACCAAAATGAATGGGGGTCAAGAATATATCAGGAAAGTATGTGACATCTTAGGCTAAAAAGACTACCAAACACAAAATTTCACTGATACTCACTTGCGACTCTTGGAAAAAGCAGTTATTTCCACACTGTATTTTAAAATATAAATTGTTTACTAGATAGGTTTTGATGTACCCAATGGGTACACATTTTATATTACTTTTTGGCTGATATATTTATAGTTTGTTGTGATGTTCGTGAACTGTTGTATTGTTACAATGTGCTTGAATATAACACATGCTGTCTGTAGACTAAAACACATAAAAGGATATAATGTGTCAAAAAAGGAACAAAATCAATCCATATTATTGAAATATGAGGGGACTTCAAAAAATCATAGAAAAAGGTAAAGTACAAGCTTATTTTGGTGCAACTAAAATGTACAATCCTTGCATTTTTTTTAGAATACTTTAATTTAATTTATTCTTTCATTTATTTTAACTTGACTGGAGAGAGACAAACAGGGAGACAGAGAGAAAGAGAGAGAGAGAGAGAGAAATTGAGAAAGCAAGCCATCAGGTCTAGGACTCAAACCATGGTTGACCACATGGGCGTGTCCAGCACCTTAACCACCATGCCACCTGCTGGCCCCCATGCATAGTTTTTTTCATAATATGGGTTTTCTATAAACTTTTTTTTTTGAGAGTTTTTGCTATAGGGTGCGTGCGCTTGCCAGAAAGCCAGAGAGAGACAGCGAGACAGAAAGCGAGAAATCACCCCCCAGGGGGGATGGCCACACTGCAGTCCCTTCTCCTCCATTCTCCTCTCGGGATCTTGGGCACAAACGCACACATGCCCGGCGTGAGTTTTAAGCCACCGGGTCTGGGACGCGAACCGCGGTCGACTACGTGAGAGTCCAGCGACATAGCCTATAAACATTTGAAGTCTCTCTCATAATATATTTAGAAAAATAAAATTATTTTTGTGTTTTAGGATAGAACTACTTTCTGTACTTACTAGCTATTTGAAACAAACATGTTTTTTCTCATATATATGGTGCTGAGTTAGAATTTTTCATTTCTGGGTTAATCATACCTTTTACATCTTCATCCTCAATTGTTGTATTTGAACTCTCGGTTGACTCCTATGGAAAAGAACACACATTTTTAAGTTATAATGAATACATAGCTTTATTTCTACCTCTTAAAATATTGGCTAGTGGTAGATACATCATGCAAATTTCTTCAGCAGGCCGTGTGCGTATGCCGACATGCAAATGGACAGATACAGTATGTGGTTCTTAACAGAAACGAGATGTCAAATGCTGCACACATTCCAACAAGGGAGTACTCTGGTCGCCTGCTCGCTGAAGCAGTATAAATCCAGCTGATTTGGAACAGCAAAGATTGCGCTTCATTTCAAGAACTGCGTAAGGATGTGTTTGTGTTACAGTGCTCTGTAAGTTGTGCTTTTTCTGTGTGTTTATAAGAAATTGAATATGTTAGCTAAGTACATTTGAACATTAAAAGAAAAAGAATTATTCCTAATGAATTAATCAGTTCATACAGTCCTTGTGTCGGACACCATCCACCAAGCCCTGAATTTGTAGCCAGTTTGTCTACCTCCTACCCTGTAGAGAGGGAGAGCATGCTGTTGCATTATTTGATAAAGAAGCTAAGGACATGAGGCTGAGATATGCTGAAAGGATCTTTAAGAAGAATTTTCATGTTTCTGACCAGTACAATAGAATTGGAATTTACTTTCAAGGACAATTGGTTTTTTTTTTTTTTCCATTCTTTTCTGAATTAAAAACAGGCTGTCACTGATAAGAAATACATTCCTATAGTGGAAAGACAAAACTACATCTTTGTGAAAGTACAAATTAGGCTGAAGACGAATAAGCACACTTAAAAGTACACTGTAACCATCAGTATCATGATACATATTTTAAAATGGATGGATAAATATTTCCATTAATAATGTACCAATAAAATATTTTTCTGTCAGAAATTTTGCAATATTATAAGAAAGACACAAATTTCTACTTGGGGAATGAAAGGTTTGAGTTGAAAACAATTGGAAATAAACTTCCAATCGATAGTTATATGCTCAGTGACAAAAACCAGATTTTTGAGAAATGGTGCAAACATCAGTCTGCGTTCTTTCAGAGATTCAATATTTTAAAAAGTGCTTAATTTACATTAAAATTACAAAGGACATTTTAGCCAAAGGGAAAAACGGATTAAAGATGTATCCAGAGTCTCCACACACACAAAACCAAAAACAGAGTCTTCATGCCTTTCGCAATGTGGCCTCGTGTTCAAGTTGAGACACAAAATGAAGGTAAACTCATGCACTGTAAGAATCAACCAGCACATGTAAGCCAGGAATGCCATGCAGCAGCTTTTACAAAGGACAGAGCTAGAACTATCCAAGCGTCTGCTCCCGCGGTGACGTTTTGTCTTTCATCTGCATTAAAAAAATTATTCTCATGTGTGATGGCCCTGACTACCTCAAGGTATTGTAGGGACTCATAACTTTTTCAGTGTCATGACTATAAAATAAATCTCATTTTCAAGAACACAACAGACAACACATATCATATTTTTACTTGAATGATTTCAATATTGATCGAATAAATGCTCAACCAGAGATAAAATGTGTTTTCTAAGACTTGAACATGGTTGGTAAGAGTAAGGAGAAGTAAGACGCAACACTGTACTTAATATTTGAGGAAAATCTGATGAAGTATTTTTTCCCCTTACAGATAGAAAAATGTACGAAAAATAATAAACTGGAAACATGAGATACATTCATAAACTGTCTCCTGTCATCCTACAAACGTGTCTGTAAGTGCTGTCATTTAGTGAACCTAGCTGTGCAGATAATCTGCCATGAATGGGACCCGTCGTTCAGGGCGAGTAGCTAAATGCCTGATACTAAAATGCATAGAACTCAACGAGCAGATTTCAAAGAAGTGCAACTCTCCGATTCTCTTAAAATTCATGCCAAACAACAACCAATGATACTGACAACAGGGAATTAGAAAACAAACAAACAAACAAACCCAACCAGGACAACAGAACAGAATAAAACTCAAAAGCAACATTAAATTTAAACAAACATCTATAAACTCAAGCTGGTATTTTTGAAAATGGTGGAATGATACAGTAAGAAATTAGAAACATTCATGCACAATACATCTATGGTTTAATGCACAAAACAAGCATCGGGGGGGAAAAAAAGACCAGATGGAATTGCTTAAGATACACAATCATCTTGACATAAAGACTATGTTTAACCTGACTGTTCTTATTGACTAATGGTACCATTCATTTCTCTCAAGATGTCATTTATTTTCATTGTAGAAAGTATATGTACAGTTCTGGATAAATTAATCCCAAAAGAAAGTATGGTTTAAAAAAAAAAAAAGAGCAAGAGCTTTCTTTTCTGTTTTCAGATAATGAATTAATTGCACTTTGAATATTTGATGAGATGTGTAATCTTGTTAAAGCAAGATGATGTTGATTCTTTCTGAATACCTTGTTTCCATCAGGGTTGTGGATTACAGTAGTTTGGGGCTCCTGAGTGAGAACAAAATAGAGAAAGAAACAGTTCGCATTGGTAAGTAAATTCTTACTAGTGTGAGGGACAGCGCAGAGTGAGCCAAATGACAAAACTAAATAGTGACAAGAGCTAAAGCGATGTTAACTGCATCAGTCAGAGGTTGCAGCTGACAAGATCTTGAATGAAAGATCTCCCTGGTGAGCCCAAGAGATAGGACACCTCCTTATCCAGAAGCAGCATGCAAAAGACCTTATTCCTGATCATACAGACAAGGCTTTGAAGTTTGGAGACTTACAGAGGCACCCACTGTTTCAGCAACTCCTATGCCAGACAGAGATTTCTCTCCTTCGTTAATGAATGGCTTGTTAACGTCTGTCCCATAGAAAACTGGCCAAGAACACTGGTGACAGAACTCTGAGATTATCTCAAATTCTTTGTGAAGATGTTTCGGCTGTATCGCTTTGAGAATTAATTATGGCGTCATTATTATAACTGATACAATATTGCACTCTAATTTTGGAAAATCTAGAACCATTGGACCACACTTTAAAAAAAAAAAAAAAGATGGGCTAGCCTGTGGTATGGTGGTTAAGGCAGCTGGATACCAACAGCTGACTGTGTAGTTCAAGTCCCAGTGGCCCCTGTGGGTTTAAAACAGTAGCAGGTGCAAGCATGATACCCTAAATTCTGAAAAGAAAAATGGAGGAGAAGGAATTGCAGAGTGACTGTCCCGCATGAGGGATGCCTTCTCACTTTCCCTCTCACCCTCTCTGTCTCTCTCCAGCAAGTACACGTGTCTTTTGGCAAAATAAAAAATATATAAAAATAAAATGACTATCCTAAAGAATGCATTTTAGGGCTCTAAAGATCTAATCAAATATTCACTAATTTGAGACAAATTTCTGTTAAATTCTATGTTAGTTCATATCCTTAAAAAATTACTGCTTTGTGAACTACACATACAGAATATTTGGTTGCAAAATTATTTTAATAATACTATTTTCCCTACTGGCTTCAACCAGACTCGAATAAATATTCCCAAGTAGAAGATGACACTCACATAACTGATCATTGTAAAACAAGATTCGGTGTGCACACATCAATGGTATGCTTGGCACTGTCACTGCAAGACATCTTGGCAAGTGGAAGTTACTGCGACTCACCGAGAGCTCTCTCACAACCTCTGTAGTTTACCCTGCAATGCTCAGAGAGCAGATCTGCTTACATGCCCTGGCTACATCTGTGATCAACACTGTCTTTCACTAGGAGGCAATCCATTGTGTCCTTCTTACCTTGATGTGTCATTTCTTTAATACATATAATATATATACATATGCGTGTGTGTGTGTGTGTATCAGGTTTTTGCCATAGGGAGCATGCACTTGCCAGAGAGAGACAGAGAGAGGGAAAGTGAGAAGTCAACCTCCAGGGGGATAGCCAAGCTGCAATCCCTTGTCCTGCATTCTCCTCTTGGGATTCTGGGCATGCACACACATGAGCCTAGCATGATTTTCAAGTTGCTGGTACATGTCTCAGTCTCCGGTCCGCCATGTGGGCGGTCCAGCGCCCCAACCACCACTTGCTGACCCACCTTTAATTGTTTTTAAATTGAACTTTTTGGTTAACCAAAGTAAGATAATCCCCTAACATTTTTTTATTCACTTGAAATAGCAGTAAAAGGATGGTTAGGAAAAAAAAAATCAGAAACATTCCTAAAACTCACAAGTCAAAATAGGAACTAGATTGAGGAAAATATGGGACTCAGAACACTGAATGCCAGCATTCGAACTCTGAATTTCAACAGAGCACCGTCTCATAGTGTTCTACTGATTTATTTCTTAATTGTGTGGATTTGAATAAAACGAACAAAATTCATTTCCATTGATCAAAGTTCTATGCTATGATAATTCATTGCTTAGATTAAAGTGAAACAGTGGAAACTTAATTTAAAATGGAATAAACGAAATGCTTTAAATTGTCCTGTGTCTCTTTGTCTCAGAAAGTGAGGTCTTACAAAGCCCTGTTGCCTTTTAATAAGAGGGGAATGGAACTCCGAATAAGGTCTGCTTTTATGTTGTCTAGCAATAATCCCATTAGCTCTCCTTGATGTCACATTTGTGTCATGAAAAGAAGAAGCCATTGTTTGCATCCTCTAGAGCTAGTATATCATCAGAAGAAGAGCTAAGAGCAACCAAAGCGCATTCTATTGTGTTTCTAAGGCAGCATGCAACAGTTTCAACTGCAGAGACCACAGCTATCAGTACGATGTTCAACAACGAAATGATAGAATCTCATGTTAGAAACACACTGCTTGACAACTATCTTAACCAAAAGAAAAAAAAGGAAACTTTTTTCATATCTTAGAAAGCAAAAAAAAAAAAAAAAAAACCAAACAAACAAAAACCCCAACAAAATACTTGAATATATATGTATCTATAGAGTGAAAGCAAATGAGAGAAACAACAAAAAACAGTAAAGAACTTAAGAAGGGTTACAAAGAGTCCAGGTATACCAGCGCCGGGGTAGGAATATTTTCTTTGGGGCTGGTTACCACGTTGGCTTTGTTGTTTATCTGTGGGTATGCAGAAAATAGAAACAGAGATGCCTTAAACCCCTGGGCAGCCAATGTCTCTCGCAGCATGTCTACATCGAAATATAGACATGAAAATAAAGAGCTGGTGAAGATGATCGTGAAAGACACAGACGACTGACAGGAATGGTGGTCACGTCTAGTCTCCGACGGTCGCGCACAGGCTGGGGCCATGTCTGTGATGGTGGGAGGGTAAAACAACGTGGTGGCTTTGACTGTGTCACCGCAGCAAACAGACAATGTGCAGCTACAACGGAGTGCAACTCATTTCCGAGTATGAAAGGACTGTAACCATTTCCATACTTTCGAGTTGGATTCTGTTTCTAAGCTTCCGATTGTTCACTGTTATTACTACGTTCCTTCTCCTGCCCCCACCCCCCCTTTATTCTGAAGCCTGAAGTCACATATAAACGCTCTTTCTCTGGAAACCATCGTTATTTTGTTTAGCAGGTATCCAATTAAAAACTTAGCTATTTTGATGAAATACTGGAGTTATTATACTTTTAAACAATGATACCTCTGTGTCTTCTTTAAAGGATACATCCTCAGTAATAAATGGGAAAATCAAACTCTTTATGCTGAATGTAAAAGGACTGTATTTTTCACAACTGTTTGAAAGGTAAACACTGTTTTCTGTCAGCATGTTACAGCTATTGAAGAATATAATTGGTAATGTGAGTACCTTGCTTTAACAAACGGAGTTTGACCTTGAATAAGGTATCATTGTCACTGTGGAAGCCACATTATGGCAGCAGTTCAGAGGGTGAGTAAGTGTTGCAATGGCCCATAGAGAGGACTCTTCTATGTGTCAACTTGAAACTATAATTGAGTTTGGACACTGAAGAATTGAAGGCTACAAAGTAATAACATTCTTTTAAACTCATGCATGACAACTTACATTGTGGCTATCCAACAAAATTGTAAATTAACATCCATTTTCTTGCACTATATTATCTAGGTACTTTAAGTATTGAATTCTAAGGGAGTAGACATAATCTTAATATAATTGTACTTAAGGACTTAAAGAGAAATCCGTGTTGCATAAAATGAATGAATACCAAGTATTTATAAGTGATTATGCAAATTTAATTGTTTGGGCTTTCTGTGAAGTCTATACCTATAGATCGCACTGAGACTAGCATTGAGAGGAACATAGAAGGCAATGGAATGAATTTAGGTGTAGAAATTTTACTCTTCCATTAATTTACATTTGTGTGGTTACTGGTACAATATTATTTAAATCAGCTCCAACACTACGCTGGCTGACATGCAGCAAAAGAAAGAAAACTTTTAACTTTCTTTTACCATAAAACTCTTTAAATATTAAGCCATCAATTTATATTTTGGGATATAGTTTAAAGTTTTTTTCTTTAAGTCAAGGTGTACAGAATTTAAGATAAAATTTGTGCAAGAGCCAGAAAGAGATAAGAGGCAATGGAGTGTATTAGAGCAGGACTGAAATGCAGTATTTTTATTAGTATAAGAGACATGAGAACAGGGAAGAGATGCACATACGAGGAACTGCCTATTAAAGAACAGGCCTGGGCACACATCGCTGATGCCTTGTCACTGACTGGGGCACTCACGATTGAAGCACCACAGATATTTAATATGCTATATTTAGTTCGTATCTGTGGATGCAAACGAAACAGAAATATTCTGAGATTTTTGATTTCTGTGTTAAGATACCTGACGTTGTTTTCTAGGACGTGGTTGCCAGAACTGCTTATTTCAGTGTAAATGTCCCACATGCACACCTGTGCACACAAACGTATCTGCACAAGCGCACAGGTCTCCTCCCCGCCTCTCCCCCATAATTCACAGAGATGCACAGCGCACACACACCGCCATCTCCTCCAGATGAAGGCCATTCTGCCTGGATGCGCTATCCTTCACTGTCAGTTATGGCAAGCAGGAGCTCAGTGAATATGGGCCTCGACTGTCACTGTTGGTCACACTGAAATGTACAGTTGGACACTTTTTTGTCAATGCAAAGATTACATTAGTAATTGTTTTTATTATGGAAAATCTTTTGGAGGTATTTTAAATATTAATTAATTAATTATAAAGGTAGAAGAACTTCCTTTCAAAGACTCAATTATCAAACACAGGTTCAGTCCCTGCTATCTTTTAAACATACAAGAACTTTTGTTTGTGAATATAGTTATTTTGTATTTATAGAAATAGAATATGTTTATTTTTCCAAAAATATTAATCAAACTAGATATTTAAATGAGGTATTATATTATTCTTATGAGGAATGGGTAAGATATTCCTAGTTCTCAGATACTGAATTTACTAAGGATTAAAGCTAATAAATATTTCCTTTAAAGGTGTTTAACTAGGATGGGTTCCTTGTAAGATAACTTTCTGATTACTTATAAACTCTGTGTGAACATATTTTGGTGTGTCTGGACTTAGGAGCACTCTTGCTTGAGCAGTTATGGTCATCATTTTAAAAATAATTATATAGTGTTTACTTTTCTGAAAACAGGTATTAATTATATCATGGTCTTCATTTTCAAATAGAAAATTGGGTTTTGTCGTTGTAGAAGATTAAACCCAATAAAAGAATATAGATGACAGTTTAAGTTTTTACATATTTTAACAATTTAACTTCAGAGAAAAACAATACAATGTGAAAGTGAGGTACCACGTACGAGTAGCTGATTCACACTGACCTGTCATGGTCTTATCCTTACTCACTTTCTCCACTTACACTAACTTAGGTAAATAATTAGGTTTTAGTCCTAAGTGTGAACTTTCATAGGAGGAGAATTCTGGCAGATAGAGATCCTCACCATCATCTGAACACTCGAACTGGACTTCCTTTTCTGAATTGACCAGTCAAAGAGAGAGGAAAAGAAAACAAACATGACCGGTTGAATGTAAAGTATTAAAGCATGGTGTACAGAATAACTTTGTCTTTAAAGAGGAGCTATAAGTTGAATAGAAAAAAAAAGTTCTGGAAGTATTTCTATATAAGGAGAGTAATGAAAATAAACATTCCAATAGGAACTATGAACACTCTATCCACTGAACATTACAAAAAGCCCTGAGGAAAACATTTGGAAAATAAAAATACCACCTTTCCACCCACGTAAAATTCGGGAAAAGGCACTATGAAACCTAAATGAGATAAACTAAGCCAAGGAAGATGAAATCACAGGTTGAGGACGGAACCAAATGGTAAACGGAAATGCCATCCTAACGAGAATCACAAGTGGGTGGTCATCAGAGCTCTGGAAATTCTCGGCCCCACACAGACAGGTGGCGAAGAGATGACGAGGCACAGACGGAAGAAGTGACAAATGATTTTCTATGTTATACTTTTAATGCGAACTGACCGCCCGACTCAGGGTCAAGGTCAAAGGTTAGACTATTAATTAGCTCCCAAGAATGTGGAAGTGTTGATGAGGAATGTGTGCATCTGCCATTGGAAGAGAAAGAAAAGGATTAAAGAAATAAAACATTTAGGTGATACTCTGGAAAGAAAACGAACATCATTATGCAATTATACAGTTATAGTACATCAAAAGTAAATTCCCTTGAAACAAATGATAAACAGTGTAAGTTGTACTGCTTTGCTTAGAAATCCAAGAAAGTCAAATACCCTGCTGTTATCTTTCTTGGAGGGTTTTTCTAATATTTGTTCAGGATGTTCACCTTGAATATGTGTCAATACCTTCTGAGAGAAGCAGAGGAACAACTGAGACCTTAAAAAAAAAAAAAAAAAAACTGCCCCAGTAGAAAAATTTAATGACTTGGTGTTTAACTTCCAAGACCCAATGCGATTTTTTTTCTTTTTCAGGCAAAAACGCGAACTTAAAAAAAAAAAAAAAAAAAAAAAAAAAAAAAAAAAACTGCCCCAGTAGAAAAATTTAATGACTTGGTGTTTAACTTCCAAGACCCAATGCGATTTTTTTTCTTTTTCAGGCTATACACTCCAGTCGCCTTCAAGTACACAGCATAATTATTTGGAAAAGCATTTAATTTTCATGGATTCTCAGGTCACCATGGTAGTTTGGGACTGGAGTAAAGCGGAGGGGATATAGATATTCAATTTCTATAGAAGCTCAATAAAAGATGATAATTTTTCATGATTATTTAATATATAGTCAAATAGAAAAAACAGAACTTTTCTTGATAGAAGTTTTAGTTACCTTAGGTATTAAATAATTTCATATTTCGACCTGTATCCTTCATCAAGAACTGTAAAAAATACAAGCTGCAAAGACTTTGGATCTATATTTAACATTTTAACATTATCCAACATGTGAAATCAGAAATAGGTTAGGAGCACCTGCTTCACTTACCTTTACGCCATCTGGTTTCTTCAATAAACTCTTGGCTGCTGCAATACGAGAGTAAAATCAGTTTAGTGAGCTGTCCACAGAAACCCACAGCCAGGCAACAAAACAGTGTGTTACTGTGTCCGGCTACCACCTCGGCTGAGTTATGGCCAACATTTGCCAAGTTATCAAGGTCACACTGATGAGCGCGAGCTTACAGGACATTGAAATACAGTATCACTTTTCTTGGTTTTGCCGTAACAAATTTGGGTCTCAATGCTTACATAGTTCATTGCATATAATTAAACACTTTGCCAGTTGTGCTATTGGACTTTGTTTCACTGTTTGTGGCGAAAAGGATACTGGAACTTTAACTGGACTATCCTTTTGTAATCCAGAAAGTTGATTTCAGTCTGTAGACATCAGCTGACAGATCATGTTACATGTTCATTCACACCACAACCAGGGTGACCATGTCAGTTCTGCCATTGAAGTCCCTCTCTCTAGAGGTTGAAAACTCATTGATAAAAATTTGCTCTGTCTAAATAATATCTTTTTTATATTTTTGAAATTAGATCATTTCAGTTTTACAACATATATTAATAAATGTATTTACAATAAAATGGCGTACCACAGACCTAGAGCAAATTTTTTTAAATGCTTAGCATATGACTGCATAAACAATGGCATGTATTCTGATAAACTTCAAAATCTAAATATAAAGACTTCATAAACCAAAGCCTTTACACTGAAAAATTAAAAATCATACATTTTGAGACAAGGTTTAAGACAAAATGAAATCATCAACCAAACCAGAGGAATCCTAAAGCATATGGTCTTATATGAAACTTTTTTTTTTTCTTGGAGGGGAGCTTTATCATTCCTTCTGTTACTCAACTTCCTGAGTCTATCAAAAGGACTGTCACCTTTTCAAAAAATATACTTGTAAATGGGTACATACACAGTGAACAGATAAGATAAATGTCAATGACAATCAGTGCACCAAGTGTAGAAAATTCACAAATACGTATGACAAAGTACACAATTATACGTCCACTGAATGTTAATTATATGTAATGACTTAAGTTGATCAAAATAGAATTTGGCTTCTGAAGTGGAAATACCTAACTATAAGAGAACTGCATGAACATGTAATTTCCTGACATTCATTTGATTTGGGACATTATTTTGATATCACATTGGTATAATTTAAAATTTGTTTAAAAACTGCTTAGAAAGTTAATTTTATTTAGTCTTTAGCAACAAAGCTATTAATTTGTCATTAACTGAGATCGTAAGAAATAGTTGCCTTAGCTACAATACTGTTTGAGGCTAAAAAGCAATAGTAAGTAAATCCTGTGGCGATTAATAGGTTAGAAAGCAAACTCAGAGTAATTGGAATTGCAATAGCAAGCGAAGAGAAGACAATGATTCAGGGTAAGCAGGGATTTGGCCTGGGAAATGCAGAAATGTCCCTTTTGGATACTATTCACCTTACCTCACAAGAAATACATTCCACATATAGGGAGAAAAGAAAAAAATAAAAACAACTTTATAACCATATACTTATGGACACATTACTTTAAAGAGCATGTTTGGCAATAAAACAGAATGAATAAAATACTCAAAACTAAAATTTAATATCAAGTACGAGATATTGTAACTGAGCACAATGTTATTCAGTTGATTTTGAAGTGATGGATTAAAAAAAGTTTGCTTTTCATGTTAAGACATTCATAAAAAAAATTTACAAATTAGTTATGAGGTTTTAGTTTACTAGATGATAGAAAGGAAAATGTAAAACAAATGAAAAGTTTCCATATATGGATGCATATATTAAGAAAGGCCCAATTTATGCCTAAAAATGTATTTAATACTTTGACAAAATACACAATTTTAATTCTGGAGGGTTTTTTTTTTTTGGAAGTTAGTTTACCATAAACAATATATATTATATAAATCATTCTACGTTTTAAGTGATTCACTAATCACTGGGCCACAGTAAAATATTAATTTGACTATAGTATATATTAGTTAATATTTAATGAGATGGCGTTGAACTCACCCATATAAATATCAACTATAGTAATCAAGTGTTTATACAGAACAGGTAACTTGACAAAGGCAGCAACAGGATTTTATTACACCAAATAAACTGAACAAAATACATACAACTGACAACACAATCCCTCATTTTGCG